AAAGACAATCAAGCCTGTGTGTGTGTGTGTGTGTGTGTGTGTGTGTGTGTGTGTGTGTGTGTGTGTGTGTTCCCAAAAGCTGCAGTACTACTGTAATAGTAATGCAGTCCCCTGTGTATAAAGTTTTGTTTTTGCTCTGAGATGACGTCACATTTCTCTGCATAAGAACCAAAAACATCCTGAGCCCTGATTTTGTGGAAGAATGACTTCAACATACCAAACAAGTCAAAAGAGTCTCAGCTACTTCAGTGTATACAGGGGGATGCAAACTTTAAAGGGGCCTTATTACGCTCACTTTCAGGTTCCTATTTGTATTTAGTGTCTCTACTGGGACATGTCTCCATGCTTTAATGTTCATAAAGCTCTTTCTCATACTGCCTGTGCTGCAGCACCTCTTTTCACCCTCTGTCTGAAACCAGAGACCACAATTGAGGCATTTCTTGTGTCACATTTAAGATTTTAGTTTTACTTTATTTAGTCAAATTAATGCTGCAGCAAGAAATAATTAGCTGACAGAAGTAAAAATGTAAAATACAGGATGTTAAATTGTTTTTGTTATCTCAAACTGAGCCATGCAGGTTAAAAGTGAACTTGTTTTAGATCAGTTGAAAAACAGCTGATATTGAAAAGGCTTAGCAGTGGCAACATCGGAATTTGTCTTCAACCAATCAGAGAGCTTGGCCGAGGCTCCCTGTTGTAAAATAATCAATCTGGATCATCAAAGCTCTCGGCAGCCTATCACACTGCTGCCAAAAGCTATAAGATGTAACATGCACGCAATAATACACTTTAAATACCTCCATTTAAAAGGAAAGAGTAACTCTGTACAGAGAGACGGACAGGACTTGGCTGTGTTTCCTCTAAAGCGCTGGCACAAGCCACGCCATGATTCCGGTCACTAGGCAAATATCTTTGGGCAAAGTCCTCGTTTCCATAAAAAGCAGGAACGCATGAGTTTAATGGTGAGTGCCGAAGCTGCTGCCATAGAAACTCAGAGACCCGATCGCTGCTCGCATGTCCAAGTAAAGCTTTTGTCCTCCAAATAGCTTTCATAAAATATGGGCTGGCACCCAACATGGATCACAGGCTTTCTGCTGTTGAGTCTGGTACAGACACAAGTATCCAATAGACTTCAACAAGCTTTGTTTCGTTGGCAGGAGACACTCGTCTGGGTCCAGGAGTCAAATAATTTACGAGTTATATTTACCAAATAGTTTTACAAAGACAGAGAAATGTGAAATAAGAAATATGGGGGCTTCAAATCCACTACGTTCTTTTCAGTTTTAGATGATTTATTTGATAATGAATCAAGTATTTAGTCAACAAATTTCAACAAATGCACCTAGCAATTTCTCAAGAGTCCAAGAGGACATATTTGTATTGCTTGTTTTGCCTAACCACTTGTAGAAAAACCTAAACATATTTATAGTTTAGTAGCATAAAAGAAAGACTACAAATATGTCCTGCCTATTGATCCCATCCAGCCATGTTTTAAGTTAATAACCAACTTTCTGCTTCAAATAAAAATGGTTGTCTGATAGGATTTTCGACCAAAAACGTAGAAAATCTTAACTGGATTGAATATGTTCCTTTTCCCTCATCCATAATCTGTTAGAAAGCAAAGGTTAGCATGTCTCTAACATTACGTAACATGTTTACTCTGAAATACACTTGCCTAAGTTGCATATTGGTACATGATTAATATTATAAAGTGTACGTTCTAGTCCTGCTTTAGTGCCCTACATTTATTTCTGTTATGATTTGGAGCCCTATAAATAAATAAAATAGGATAGAATTGGTTTGCTTTCAAAGTACTGTTAATGTCACAAAATTAAATTGAATGTAAGATCATAGAAACGTTCCCACTCTAGCAGATATGTGTGAAAACAGACTCCTAGCTTAAAACTCTGTACAGTAAAACTTAGACATCCAACAAAGGTCATACTAACCTAAACCTATTTTTTAGTGGTTTCAAAGTCTAAAAAACTATGAATGCAGATGAATCTTCTGTGGACTACAATGGACTGTCTTATCCCTACAGATAAGGCAAGGCAAGTTTATTTATATAGCCCCTTTCAACACAAGGCAATTCAAAGTGCTTTACAAAAAATTAAAGCCATTAAGAAAATGGCATTTAAAATCAGTCATTAAAAAGAAAAGATAATGAAATAAACATTAAAAGAAAAAATATATGGATAAAAGTTACAGTGCAGTTTAAGATGTGAATAGTTCAATTAAAAGCAGCGGCAAAAAGAAAAGTCTTTAGTCTGGATTTAAAAGTAGTCAGAGTTGCAGCGGACCGGCAGGTTTCATCAGTACATCACTGCCCCCCTGAGGCCTGAACTCATCACTCTCCTCATCAACATTCAAAACATTAAGTGTGGGTATATTGGGTACATGTATGCTAGACGCACTGGTAAAAACAAATCTATTCACCTTAAAACATGGTCACATTTCTGTCTTTTACATGATAGTACATTAGCTGCAATGAACAATAAAAGGTATTGATATCAGTGGTACGGGCTTTGGTTTGGATTTGTTTGTATCATGGATCTATCTTGTCAGTTTTCACCCTATTCATGCTTGTATTGCCACCCAAAAAGACTTTTAATTTGTAAGTATTGACACTACTTCTGTGTCTTCCCAAACAGTACATTTCCACACTCATGCCAGAGGGCACATGGGTGACGGCATTATGATGATTCAAATGTGAGCGATTGTTGAACATCTGGAGATAATAAACACCGGTGACGATACAGCAATAATAAAACAAGCTCATCTAAATATTTATGTGCCAAAACACAAATCACTGCTTCTACCGGAGCCAGTGTTGCTAAGCAGCCGCGTTGTTCATCTCCTCTTCAGTGACAATGCTGTCATGCAGAGGAAGTCATTTCCATTGTAGATTTCAGTAATGTTTTGATTAAATATTCAACCAGTGAATTATGTTACCTTTGAAGAGCCGGCCAAAACAGGGAGCCCATCAACATGAAGCTCTACGAAATATATCTGTAACAATTCCAATATATTTTATGTCTTTAACACATGAGTGGGTTACTCCTTCTCAAATGAGAGGATTTCCTACTTTGTTTGTACTGTTGAAAATGCTCTCTGCCAAACATCAATTGTCAAATCCTATCATCACACCTATCATTAGTCTGCTTTTGTTGAAAACAGGCCCCAACTATGACAAACAGATTAACTACACAGTATTTTTCCACTTTGTGTGAGCCAGTCCTACACGTCATCAGAGTTTTTGGTAAAATCATTGGTTGTGTACAGCTCTTTATTTGATGTGGGTAACTTTACACATCGGAAATTCCCCTTAACGTTAGCCATGTTTGCTATTAGTTGTGTTTGATAAAACATATTGATATTAAAACAAATGTCATGTATATAGCCATTGTGAATTGCAAGTATATATATAACAATACTTTTTATAGACTTCGTCTTAAACTGAGAACGTTTGAAGCATAAAAAAGGATAGTGTTTTTAAACCGTGTCATGACGCTAACGTTAGCTTAATTAGCTATTATGCTACAGCTAATAAAATAGCAACAACAGTCAATATTTCAGCTAGCAAAATGTACAGCTGCCAACTAGAAATGAAAAACCTACTTTTGTATGAAATGTAATTGGTCAAAAATGTTTTAAAAGTTTGGATGGTAAATCAGTAAAGATAATATGCATTACACAGGAATGGAAAGCTTGACACACTTAGCAACTAAGCGGCCTGGGGTAAAGTCAATTTGTCAACTTAGCGGAAGAAAAGCCAATGTGTCTTAGTACTAAAACTAATCTAAAGTGGCATGCTGAAAGACAGCTTCATCCTCTTTAGGAGCTAAAACTGCTTCCCATGTCCCACAGACGTTATGTGCCACAACATGAACCTGGTGACCGTCTGCTCTGTTTCCATGCTCCACGTCTGGCAGCATGGCAGATCTGGACCGTGCAGGACACAGTGTTCCTCCCCGCGTCTCTCATCGGTAAAAAAAAAAACGCCCACTTCCTGTAGCGGCAGGAAGTGGTGAAGTGGCACAGATTGTTCCTGAGTGAACTCGTCGTCATATCAGACTCGAGGGGTTTTCTCTGCAGCATGGACACACACACACGAGTGTTCAAACAAAAGACACACACAGCCGACAGAGTGAGGAGGAAATCCAAAAATACATTCCCAGGGTTTTGCCACGCAGATAAAGGTAATGTAAACACGATGAGGTCATGGTGGGATTACAATGAGATACTACACTGGCACATGGGAGGGAAAGAAGAGGAGGTGAAGTTATGGAAAACTATAAAGGGTGTGGCAAAACAGTGTGAGTCACTGGGTGTGTGTGGTTTTAAAAGGGGTGGTTTATTTTGGTTTGATGAGTCTGAGAGACAGTTATTAGCTGGAGCGCCATATTAAAGGTCCCCTATTATACTGTTTTTGATGGGTCGCGGTAAACGCTCTAAAGTGAGGCTCCACTACACTAAAAAATAAAAAGCCTGTTAATAGCTTGCCAAAGGCATAGCTCAGTTAAAATACATTTGTATTGCATGTATTTTTTTTATTTGTAAAAATGTCAGCTAAAGCTTAAAAGAATAAAGATATTTTTGTTATCTAAACGTTTGACCGTTTCGGGCGGTGGTGGCGAAGTCGATAGGGACTTGGCTTGGCAACTGGAAGGTCACCAGTTCAAGTCCCGGCAAGACCAAGTGCTACCGAGGTGTCCCTGAGCAAGGCACCGTTCCCTACACTGCTCCCCGAGCGCCGTTCAAAATGGCAGCACACTGCTCCTAACACTAGGATGGGTCAAATGCAGAGAAACAATTTCCCCACGGGGATTAATAAAGTATATCAAAATCAAATGTCCTCTTTCTTTTACAATTTTGGAATCGAAACGGGGAATCGATAAGAACCGGCATCGATAAGCAGAACCGGAATCGATACATTTCAAACGATACCAATCCCTAGCATTAAGTGATACGACTTTCGTGTTCGGGAAGATGAAACTCACCAACAGATCCACGTTTTCTTTGCGTCCCAGAGAGCCGTGCTCCACCCTCTCGCTGCCCGGGGCGAGGATGTACGGGCTCTGACCTTCAGAGGGCTTCATGTTGGGCAGGCTGAGCGACCGCAAGTCCTTCACCCCCTGCTCCACCTTCAGCTCATCCCCTACCCGTGCTGAAGGAAAAACAAGAAGGTTTAACGGTCTGGGGAAGAGACTCTTGTAAAATATACACAGCCCTCAGATCATTATTTTTCTCTGTTTTGTTTTGAGTCATTTTAAATTGACACCAAAAGTATTGGGCGTTAAATCCATTTATAAGCTCTTTTACATATTGTAGAATAAATAGAATGATTGTGGCCTTACATTGAACCAGTAATCAAATACATGTTGGCCACTTGAGGGTAGCAGAAACGAGGAATTGACACAAAATGGACTGATATGCCAAACTTATTATGTAACTGTTAATTCACACATCCAGCAGATACAGAGAAACCTTATATTTAAATCTGGCGAAGTGAAGTTCAGTATTCATTTGTCTGTGTAGCTGCGAATTGCTTACCTATGTTCACCAGCTGGATGCTAACTTTGTCTGTCTGCTGTTTGCTGCTGGCCAAGTACAAGGCATACTTTTTAAAGCTTTTCCCCTGAAAACAACGCTATAGGAGCAGTGACAGTGAACCAAAACATAAATGTTGCGGAGCTGAAAACAATCAAGTGAAAAACAATAAACAGCTCCAGGGAGCTAAGGGAAGCTGCAGATAAAAGACACCTTTCTGTGGCTTTAATACTACAAGTGACACATTTTCACAAAAAACTTGTTATCCTTTGTCAATACGGTACATGGTCAAATTCATATTTGTTAAAGCTTAGGGAAAAGAAATAGATCGGATTGAGTGTTAACAACATAGGAAGAGCAGAATAATACAATTTCTCAGTCATAGTCTACTGAAAACCTGACCACGTGTCTAAACAGCTGTGGACCGTTTGACCTCTGTCTTTCCGACTGTAACTCCAGACCGCATGTGGGAGGGTGACAATTTCAAAAGAAAACAATTAGTCATGGCATGGGATCTCTTTGATGGGCGGCTTAAATGGGCTTTTGTTCCCGAAACTGCAGCAAGTGTAACTGCAGCGGTCGCAGAGCAGAGGCAGCGTTCCCACTTTCCACTGCGGCATCATGGGAAAGCTGGCACAGTCATCATCATGCTGCGACTGCATTATTAAGATTCATAGGGAGTCAATGACACTTCTGGAGAGGATTGAGCGGTAGTGGACGTTCTTGTAGTTCTTTCATAGCATACAGCTTTTTTCTCCGAGTCAGACATTTGGGAAAGCGTTCTCCGCCATCTGTCCTGCTCCGTCATTGTTAAAGGCCACAGATGAGAATGGTGTGTCTAAAATTGCACTTATTGTAAGTCGCTTTGGAAAAAAACAAGTCAGCTAAATGTAATGTAATGTAAAATACACCGACTGAAAGGCTCCCTACTTTCTATGAACAAACGCTTTTAATAGCAGCTGTTTTCATTTATTCCACCGGGTTAAAGTGTATCGGTTTGTTGTCTGTCGTTTAACAAAAATCCAACACCTCAATGATAATCTTTAACTAATTAGAAATAAGTTCGACATGCAACAATGACTCATTTTCTTAGGCAATGTTGTTAGTCATTTACAAGAAAGAAGATCTGATTGATAGCGTGAGAACGTCACAATGAGCAACATTAAAAAAAATACTATCGAAAAGTGTTAATCCTTTGTTTGTGGAAATTCAATTCAATTCAAAACCTTTATTTATCCAGGTAAAATCCCATTGAGATCAATGATCTCTTTTTCAAGGGAGACCTGCAGACATAAACCCCGTGTGAAAATCTCAGTTTTATTGAAACCATTTTGTTAACTAATAGAATCAGGAAATAAAAGGAAAAAGACATTAGGGGGTATTAAGTAAAAACACATGTGAGGATCAACAACAATATCAGTGATTGGAGGAGTTCAAAGTCAAACATGGGGAATCTTTAATAACACTTTTAAACTCCTTTGACGAAATGATTGTTTGACAATATAACAAATTATATTTTTAACAAGCCTACTTAAAGTATATAATGGCTTCTTTAAACATGGACCCACTGCGAGTCATTTAAAGTCAGAAAAACTGAGAAATAAATCACATTGTCTTTGAATGGAGAGCTTCTGTACAGTAAGTTAATATTGTATTTTCTAATTCGCTTCAATATCATTTACTACTGTCGCTGAAGTCTCACTGCTACGATCTGGCTCGTCTCTCTCCCTCAATGAGAGTCTAATAAAACACTGCCTTTTCTCAGAAGTTAGATTTCAGACACAGTCGTCAATCTGCAGTTATAAATCAGGCTTAGCGGCTGCATGTAAGAATTTGCTCTCATATGTTATGCCTCTAAACAGGAACGCCTCAAAATAGATGTTGGATGAGCCCAAATACACCATTTTTAGAGCAGACAAAAAGTTATGCTTAACGCCTAAAGGATAGCCATAAAATATAGGGTATTATTTAGGATGAAATATGATTATTGGTGAGGTTGTTACCTTTTACTTTGAGGTAATGTCCTCCGAAACGGTACGCCTCAAAGTTGAGTGACAGCGGCGTGTTGGACTGATCCAGGAACAGGTCGACCCGGCACAGCTCAATGCCGTTCCTCTCAAACACTGGACCCAGAACCTCTCTGGTAACACAAAAATAAAAATAAAACTGTTAATTATGGCTCATATCAAACTCACGCAATATCTTTTATGCGTCTGATCATCTTTCTCTCACCTCAGGGTTTTCTTTTTCATTGCCGGTACAATTTCCGTGTTTATGTCCACGTTGAGATCAAACTTGAGGCTGAAGCACTCCTTACTGGGGTCCTGCAGGGGGAACAGACTGTTAGTTTACACAGGTGGGGGGATGCATGTGTTCACTCAGCGAGTCCACAGGGGGGCTCCTTTTCACGACACTACCCAAAACAGCCTGCAAACACCATTATGCTATATCAGAATAAAGGTGGCTGCGTTCTTATTGCTCACCTCTGCCTGTATTGTGCACCGTTTATGAGAAACTGTGTTAATTCTGAGTCACAAAACAAGTGACAGATACAGTTAATCCCCGATAAAGATAGTCTTTCCGGAAAATAACTGAAGACTAATTCCAGGAACAGACTGTGGTTTCATGGGGGGGGGGGTTTCATGCTGCACCCTGCTTCCTGTGTATGATTACTTACATCAGTGTGTCGTCTCCGTGGTTTCTTTTTCAACTTCATTCCCCCTGTTTTACGCTCCCTGCAAAACAGTTACACACATGTTATCATACCGTTTATACTCCCAACATCTGAGGAACTGCTTAATGCGACTTAAAAAGAAAGCGATCAAACTGTCAGGAGACACACATTTCATGGTTGTGATTTATCCTCCGCTCTGAACAGACATAGCTCTACTGACAGGCAAGGCTGACATAAACACTAGAAGAACGTAACAAGAGGGGGTTACCGACCCGCGGTCATTGCTCCCATCTTCCTCTTCCTCGAGGTCGGAGGGGGGGCTGGTGCGGGGGGGACAGGAGCGCGTCGACACGTTGCGAGCCAGGATGGAGGCTAAAAGTCAAGAAAACACAACGGTCAGTCCCTCTGTTGGAACAAAACTACGACAACATTTAAAAATCAAGCTTTAAAAGGATCAGTCCCCAGAAAAAATATACATTAACAGGTTTCCTCCAATGACTCTTGTGCTATCTAGCAAAGCAAATAGTTGTGTTTCTGCCAGACTTTGATCCATTTGTGTCCATGGAGGATATTTGCATTTTGATTGTGGGTGTTTACATTACCTTTAAAAAGTGTTCTTGTTGTTCTTGTATCATGATCATTGGCTGTCCACTTAGATCAGTGATTCTCAAACTTTTTTCAATAATGTACCCCCTTTGAAAACAAAATTCAGCCAAGTCCCCCTGATCAGCGCAAACACAATTTGTTAGGGAAGAAATGCCTATTTAAAGAGGTACAGTGCAGCACTGCACCATCAGTGTCTGATTTATTAAAACAACAACCTTGTAACTGAGAAACCCTTAAATGTTACATTTCAAATGTTTACAATCCATCACTAAATTCATGGCAAACCAATTTTAACATCATGCAATAACACTGACACGACATTAGTTGCATTGAACTGATCTTTTTAATAAGTTGTACTTACAATGTAGAGAAACATGGGCTTGTGGGATCTTTGTCATTCTGACAGGGAGGCTAACTGCAGTTATTACACTTCGTGTTTTGAAATATGTGTAACTCTGTTAATATAAAACCCACACTGCTCAAACTTCCTTACTTTTTTTTTTTTTTTCATTAACATAAAATAAATCTCACGTACCCCCTGCAGTACTCCAACGTACCCCTAGGGGTCCGCGTACCCCCATTTGAGAACCACTGACTTAGGGTGACCAAGTGCCCCCTTTTGTCTCACAAATGTAGCCGTCGCCCACATTTGATTGACCGTTGCCTGATTAAAACTTGGCTTTTATCCAATGGCTGTTTAGAAAACAATAGAGCGCCATCATCGTTAGCCGTATCAGATGTCAAATCAACAAAGAAATGTGGTGCAGGGTCATTCCCTGTGTTAGGTACTTTTGAGTTTTTTTCAATCAGGCATGGAGGTGAATACGATTTGAAGCTCACAAGAAACACTTGTTGCAGCAACAAGTCTCACACAAACAATGTGGCTTGTTGGTACCCCAGGTCCACTGATCGTGTCCATCACATAAACATCGTAAAATCTGCTTGGAAATCTTCATGTGTTTATGTTTTCTTCAGTATCAAAGTATTCCAGTGATAGGTGTACGACACACGCATGGGTACGATACAAACCAGAACGATTTAAACATTTAGTTGTGCCAGTTTGCCTAATGCAGATAGAAATACAAGCTTAACACAGCGTTCAAGTTGTTCACAAACTGTTCTTCTCTGAATAGTTTTCTCATGGACTTTTTCCTGGTAGAACATTTTACCGATAAAAAACGTTCACAGTACGGTCTGTACATTATCCGGAGTAACCAGATTACTTTTGATGTGGTGAGCTAATGAAATTAAATCAACCCTCATTATGCTGCGGTGGATGCTGAAATCTCAGGGACAAACTGTGCAAGGTCACTTAAAACTAGCCTGGTTCCAGATTTCTGATTATCTGTCCACACCTAGGATTTGAACAGTAATTAAAATGTGTCTGGGATTGAGCAAACTGAGGGCCATTTCTGTCAATTGCGGAAAAAAGCTAACAGTTGACCAGCCAGAGCTTTGCAGGAAGGATTAAGAATGATGTTGTCATCTTTCTGATACATCCATGAAAAGAGTAGCTTTTTAAGAGTTGAGTATTATCTACTAAACAGTAACACACATTCTCCTTCTCCTGGGAAATCTAAAGTAAATTGCGCACAGCGAACCCTAACTCATATTCTATTTCCACTGAAAATGACATCAACAGGATGGATATGTGAGCCGCTTCTGACACAATAAATTGGCAAACATGAACACACTGTGAAAAAGTGAAACCAAATGGGACCACAGTCTCATGTTTAGGCTAAGTTAGGACCAAAGGTAAGTGAGAAAACCAATAAAGCAACCCTTAAATATAGTAACAATACAAGGTTAACCTTAAATATTTCAGACATATATTGAATTATTACCCAAATCATACATTTATAACTCAGGTGTTTCATATATGCGGAGGTAGAACTTGATTGGTAGTTTTTGCCTTTTTTAGACAACAATAAAAACCCAGTGTGATATTTACACAGTGAGCTCCTGTGATGAGGCAATGGGCATGACATCATTGTGAGAGAGGGATTACCAAATAAAGAAACAGTGCTAGCAGCGTCTACCTTGAGGTTGTAAGTCAAAGCGGGGGTGCCGGTCAAAGTGCATGTTGTCTGTGTTCTCCGAGTGGCTGCGTGAGTCACATGACTCGCACAGGTGAAGGGGGCTTTTGTTATTCAGGTCTTGGCAGTCTGGGTGGTGGCAAACCTAAAGGGAGAAAGAGAGAGGGGGGAAAGAGAGGACAAGAGAAAGTCAGATCACATAACTGCCAAGCACACAAGGTCCCCGCTGTACAAACATTTAAAAAGACTGAGCCAAAGTGAAAATGGCAAAACACTCGCACACATTTAAAATAAACATCCCCTGCCTGACTATTGTTTCTGCCACAGTTAGACGACCGCAGAGGCTGCCACTGGCATTCCTGAGGTTTGGTGACTCCCAGCTTTACACCGTCTGCCCCCTCTGTGGGTTGACGGCTAATGTAATTACATTTAGATTTCCACCTCGTGTGCAGATCTGGGACCAGCTTACCCCTTATGTAATCGAAAACCCTATCCCGAGCTGTGGGACAATACAACCGACCACAGGTCAGCTTCCAGTCGGCGACGCGCAGCAGAAGGCAGCAGGATTAAGGATCCCTCTGTGTAGGACCAGACAGATCAACCCCCCCCCCCCCCCCCCCCCCGATGCTCTTTCCTTCACCCCAGGAGTACCACAGGACTCCCCCACAACTCCACACTCCACCCCGTGTCGACATCACCCACAACCCGGCTCAGGAAGCGAGGATGTACGAGGAGATACAATGGAGGTCCAGCTAATGTACTTCCTGTCATTGTCTCCATGTACGCTGGAGGAGCAGTGTGTCTGTGCATGTGTGTTTTAATGTGTGCACAACAGGGGTTTAAAGCAGTTAGGGAGTCTAGCTTTCAAGTAAACACAACAACTATAGAAATACAGGAGGTAGATCTCCTGAGAGGACACTGTCATATTGGCTTGTCTGAGGTATAAGATGTATGCAATTGACTAATGTTATTGCTGGCTGGTACTTTTTTTGCGCTACTTAATACTGTAAAAACACTGTTGTAAAAATACCACCATGTAATATATATACTTCTCACTATATACCACCGACTTACTGACTACATTATGACTTTATTTACATGTTCGCCGCTTTTCTATCTTGGATGTGTACTTGCCTCTTTATTTAATATGTTAAGGTTTCATATTTTCTTCTATTTGAGTTGGTCTTATCTGCCCTGTCCCCTTCTCTGTAAAACTGTAAATGTCCTCACTGTGAGACAATTAAAGGATTTCTAATTCTGATTCTGCTCTGACACATGCTCTGCACTGCGACATGCTAATACCAGTGGGTATTAGTGCTATCAGGTAACTTCAATACAAAATGACCCTCTCCATCCCCGCTCCTGGTACTCTACCGTAATATTCTGCAGATCGGAGCCGGAGTCTCCCCCACTCCTGCAATTCGGCTCCATATCCATGCCAGGAGGCACCCAGCCAAGACCCCAATAAACATCCAACTTGCTGCCTCGTTGGCCGGCTAATTCCCTGTACAGCGTGCCCCCCGTCAGACACGCCGCTTTATTAATCCACTCCTCTCAATGTCTAGCCAGGTATAATCACAGATTTCAAGGAGCGGGTCGCAAGGCTTGGGGAGGACAGAAGGAGGGAGGAGGGGTAAGGTTATGGGAGGGTGAGGAGTCCCAGTGAAGATATAAACCCAAGACAGGAAGGAAGGGGGTAAAAAAAAAAGGTCCATCCAGAAGCTTTTCAGAAGTACAAAGCCCCCCTAATCTTGCAGCCTAATTGGTGCCTGTGCTCTGTCAAAGCCATCTGACGGTCCTGTAGAGATTAAACAGCCTCACCATGAGCTCCACAGACCAGGGTCTTCTACTCTTTTCCTCTCTCTCCCTTTCTTCTCTGTCCTCTGCCACTTCCAGCCCAGACTCCTCCCTTCCTCTCAAGCACAGAGGGTCAATATACCCAGGCAGAGCCCCCAAAGAGAGAGAGGTTTTTAAATAGAAAGAGACAGAGAGACAAGAGTCAGAAAGGCTCAGTTTCTCACTGTGAACATGACAGGCTCTCCTCCAATAGGCACCACTGCATTAAAGGATTATTCCAGTTTATTACAACTACAGTAATTGCTTATCTTTGGACACATTATAACTTAGAATAGGGGGGGCACCACTATCACAAAGTGGCAGACAGCAAGAAATAGAGCATTTAGACCCTTCACATTGTATTATTACTAGGGCCGGGACTTTAACGCGTTAATTAAGATTAATTAATTACACAAAAATTAACGCGTTAAAAAAATTAACGCATTTTAAATCGCACTTATTTTTGCACCGCGGAACGTTTCTCACTGGATGAGTTTCAGGCGTACCGATTATACTGGAGCACCAACTAACGTTCATGACTTCAGACAACAACAAACCACAGTGAACAACAGTGGGAAATGTTGTTTTAAAAAACGGACGGATGGAAGCGTCGATAAGAGCACGGTTGTGTGCAAATTATGCAAAAAGAAATTCGCATATCACCGCAGCACATCAAGCCTCAAGTATCACCTCAATGCAAAACATATAGCAGCTAGCGTGGAAGCTAGCGTGGACGTTAGCCTATTTTATCGCGTTCACACCAAAAAGAGCCGGTACTAAAATGTGTTCATGAGAACCTTTTTACCCCCACGAAAGTCCCTGCTAGAGAGCAGAGAGCTGCTAGAGAGCAGGGACTTTCGTACGGCTCTCTTGTGAGAAAAGAGCTATATTTCTGATTGGCTGGGCGGATTGCAAACCACGCCCCGTAAAACTCCCAAAAAGTTTTGTGAAGCCGCCATTTTATTATCCTCGTATTAGCATTAGCATTAGCCCAGCGCAGAAACGCAGAGAGACTAACTTATGGCAACACAAAATAAAACATGGGAGCGGTGGAGATGAGGAGGTGTCGGCGTTCTGACGATTTACTCGGAAGGCTTCCGTAGAAGCTGCTGGGAGTCCCAGCAGCTTCTACGGAAGCCAGTCCCCAACTCCGGGGACTTCCGGCCGGGGACTTTGGGCGGCAGTATACGCCGTGAAGTGGTTTGCGGCGTGCCAGTAAACCCAAAGCAGAAGAAGAAGAAGTGACGTCAGCGGCTTCATTTGCCTAATCCACCCCCAGGTTCAAAGAGTTCTCATGAACCAAGTTCTCATGAACCTTTGTGGGAAAAGTACTGCGGTGTGAATGCGCCTAATGGTATACTAAAATCCATGTGAAAAAAATTGCTTCTCACTGTTCTCAGGTCAAATATTTATATGTGATTAAAAATGCGATTAATTTCGATTAATTAATTACAAAGCCTCTAATTAATTAGATTAATTTTTTTAATCGAGTCCCGGCCCTAATTATTACCGATAGTAATAACTGCCTAATCCATGCATCTAGAAACCAAGTTGTAATAAACTAGAATTACCTTTAACTCCCTACCTTAACAAAGGCTAATCTACAGCTATGCTGGCGCTGTTGCTATAGACTGTACACAGACTGTACCTGGGCAAATCTGGGCTATAAGCTAAATGCTAGCGTCACATGCTAACACGCTGGTGTTTATCAGATATAATGTTTACAATATTCCCAATCTGAGATTAGTGTGTGTGGCATGCTAACTAGGCTTGGTTGGTATTATGGGAATCATTACATCAATACCGTCTGCTTTCTATGAAGCTGTAGTGTCCACTGAGTTCAAAAAGATGGTAAATACAAGGGTTAGGGTTCATAATAATGGTTGTGAAGAACCGCATGCTACAGTGCTAAAACTCAAAAGCTTGCTGCCCTTTCTGGCTTTCCCAGACCGGATTAAAGTTATTATTGATTGACCTTTAAATGGGACCGACTATTCTAATTGAATTTTAACCGACGACCCCAGTGAGATGTCAGTAAGGTAAGGTAAGTTTATTTATATAGCACATTTCAGACGCAGAGGCAATTCAAAGTGCTTTACATGATCATTAACACATGATAGTAGAACAGAGAGGAACACAATAAATAAACATAATGGAATAACAGTTTCATAAAAACAATGTAAGGTATAAGATATTGAAAAGTAGACACTCCCCAAGTCTCACGCTAACATCTGGTCATAAGAACACACCACAGAGCGCAGCTGAGACTGATGGGAATACTCTGCAGAGATTAAGTCGTAACATATTGGACACATAATGATATTGGCAAAGCATCACCATAGTCAGTCCGATTTGTCCTAGACAGATCATGACTGTTTTCTAAACAATTAGAGTTCCTGTTGAGTCTTGTGCTCTCTGGATAGTTAACATGGCAGAGGAGGATAATGAGAACAGTGTGACATTTCAAGTCATTTCTCAATCGTTGCAGATGATGACGTTGCAGCTACAGTAGAGAGTCTCACCTCTTACTGAGTCACTGACCTCGACAAACCACACTGCCAACGAGACAGCTACTTGGCAGACGCAAACAAGTCACAGGAATCTGTTACAACATCACCTCCTCAGGGCCCTCGGAAGCAAACATCAATGCATGAACGCACATTTTCGTGCAGAAGGGTCAAATGTCCCGTCGCACCGAAGTGGTATTTTTTAAGTGGAGACAGACGGCCGGGCCAGAGAAACACGAGCGAATCAGATGCCATATTTAGACAATAGCCCAGATAGGTAGGCCTTCCTCGCTTTGAGCATCTGGAAAAGCGCTATAATAAATGTAAGGAATTATTATTATTATCAAGTTGGGGCGTTCACATTCCTGCTGAAAATATCTGATGCTTCAGCCAAGACAAACGAGTGCATCACAGGATGAAGAAAAGGCACCGAATGGAACAAGAACTCAAACAAACCAAGAACAGCTCGTAATCATGACAGATAGATGAAGATATCATCCTAAAATAACTTCACCCAGGACAACAAGGATTTTTGCAATACTCAACATTCCTATCAATGAGGGGGATGATTGATACTTTCATTATCCGGCTGTCTCTGGATCTGGAGTCCTGACAAAACGATGAAGAGGAGGAGGAGTGTGCAAGTGAAGCCGACTGTAAGAGAATGTGTCCGTGGAGAACAGCTGACAGGATACATGCCTCTTTTGTCATGTGAGTGTGTCGCGTGTGTGTCCCCTCTCCGCATGCCTGCTCTCAGATCTGTCTGGATTAGAGGGGAGGTTTCGGGGGGGGCAGCACGAGT